CTGGCAGAGGCGGTTCCAAAAGGGAACTGGACAGGCAGGCCATCTGACCAGCAGTGAGGGTAGTATACACAAAGTTACCAATCAGGCCTAGTAAGAGGGCCCCTGGGGTCCAATCCATGCAGGGGGAAAAATGAAGGATGCTGCAAGATCAGAAGGCCTGGAAAACCCGACTCAAGAACAAATGTGAACTTGATTTTGTAAGCGAGATGGACATACTTTAGACAGTGTTCTGGAAATACAAAATCTGCCAGAAATGTACAGGTTGAAAGGGGGCAAATTAATAAATGCAATCCCAGCACAAGAAATGATACTGGGGAATAGCTCTAAGGCTGAGATTTCCCTGCACCCTTGAGTACTGGGACTTATTTACCACTGAGGGCCACACTCATTAATTTCTCAGTTACTATAACTAAACTCTTCTTATTATTCTACTACCTACCATGTGCCAAGCGCTTTGTATATCTTATCTTGAATCTACCTATAACCATGCAAGGTCAACACTATTATGCCCACATACAGACCAGAGAAATAAAGGCCAGGAAGGTCAGGTAACCTGGCCAATCTCCCACAGGTGGGAGGGGTACAGCCGGGGCTCCCAGAGGCCACATCTTTTCTACTTTTTAAGGACGAGGTGCTTTTCCCTCTGAGTAGGGGGCTTTAGGCATGGGGAAGTCTTGCCAAGCTTAATGTAGACTTCACAGGTTACTCATCCTTAAATGTTTCCTGCAAATTAATGACATGAAAATGTTAGGTCGCAGTTCCCCTGAATGCAGAAGTTTGAATCCCATTAACAATAAGGTACCCTAGCCTACCAGCCTCCACAGAAGAGCACAAGTCAAGGTTCGTGTCCTTACAGGTGACCCCACTTAAAGCAAGCAGAGCTGGAAAAGCAAACATTGTGCTTGCTCTCTTCACCACTCTAGTTAGTATGAAGGTCCTGCCCATGCTGGTTTGTGCCTGGTTTTGTGACAGGTGAGAACAAGAACAACAGGCCACGTGATATGGAGGGAGCAGCCCCTCCCGGAGCGCCCTGGCCAGGGAGATCAGGGCTCCCTGCTAGCAACAACTGTCTCGCTCGCAGCTGCTTCTGGGCTTTGCTGTTCCCAATGCAACAGGAGCCAAAAAATGTACTTGACAGTAGAAATCTTTGAGAGTGTACAGAAAAGGCAAGACACTGTAACTCCACTGTGAGAAAAAGCAAATGCTCTGATTCTATATAGTCGTCAAAAGGATGGGTTTCAGAATTTGGTGGGACAAGAAGGTGCTCAGCCCTTCACTATTGCCTGGGACAGATGATTTGGGGAGAGGAAAGGAGCCGCTAAAAATAACAGTCTTAAATTTTTTAACCCAAACAAGAGATATCAATAAGGTCTAGAACAACAAAATCAAATACTAAGAAAAAAATAGGCTCAAGAACTCGTACCAGCTTAAAAAGCTAGTTGAACAACTCCAGGTAACAACCAAACCCACATTGAGGGGAAAGGAGGAAGGTGTTTCCTCTTGCAACTTGAGTCTGTTCCAACCCAGAGTGAACCAGACTGTAAGAAATAGTGGAAAATATTCCAGCTGCACCTAATACTTTGTCCCTTAAAACACTCTTACCTGCTTCCTGTATCTGTATTAGGAGTATATTTGTGTAAATTTTACAAATTTATTCTGAAAATCAAAGTGTATGTGTCCCATTAACAAGCCTCAAAAGATCTTTTGCTTGAACAGCCATTATGCCACCCCTATTCCTAGAACAGAAAACAGAAAAGTCAAGCTCATTTATGAGTTCAACTGTTAGGTACTTACTGGACCCTCCAGTGTTCTAGGCGCTGTACTTTGGCCCTGGGGACATGGAAATAGTGTACACTTCAAAATATCAACAATGCCTTTGCAGAGTAGTCTTGCCACTTTGCTGGTTCACTTTACTGCTTTTTTTCTTTTAATTGCTTCGGTTACAAACATAGCAAAATTTAGTTGCTGCCTGAAGTAAACTTTTTAACAAATTACCTTCAAATGCTAAAAAAAAATTTTTTTGCCAGAAGTGCCCAGAAAATGTGCTTGAGAGAAGCCATAAAAATCTAAGGCAGGACATGAAGAAACAAACCCCATTAGGAAGTGAGGAGTGCTCAGTCTTTCCAATCCGGGGTCCACATCAAAGTCTGTGGCCATCAGCCGAGAAACGCCTCACCAGCTTCCCACTGACGGGCAGCAAGACAGATGTCTGATGCTACTTAAAGCAGGCACTTGCAGTCGAGAAGGCCGTGTATGCAACATGCACGAGAATTCATTACACAAGGCAACCGCTTAGTAGGTATAGCTCAGCGGTTCTCAGTTGGCAGTGATTTTTGCTCCCCGTGGCTCATTTGGCAGTATCTGCAGACATCTGAGTTGTTGCTAAGTGGGGGCTCTACTAGCATCCAGTGAGTCGAGGCCAGGGATGCTACTCAACATCCTACAAGGCACAGAACAGCTCCCCCCTCCCCCCAAAAAACAAAAACAAAGAATGAACCAGCCCACAATGACAATGGCACTCAGTTTGAGGAACCCTGGTCCCTGCTCAAAGTAGCAGCTGCTAGACCCAGGTAATAAATACAACATCTCATTCAGTGTTTTTCCTCAACTGTTAACATTAGCTTCAAATTGTCACCCAATAAGCAACAAGTCATTATGCCTAAATCACAATGGGAAAAGTTACTGAAGACTAGGACGCCAATTAATGATAAAGAGGCCCTACAATTTTGCTGTCCTTGGAAATGTATCTTACTGTTTCTACTCTAACAGGACATAAGATTTTCTTCACTGGACAGTTTAACAAAAGGATGCTCTGTCGTAAGAAACAAAATAGAGACAGGATCTATGTTAGGAGTTTGTCTTCAATTAATACAGCACTGTGTGCCCACTCTGACTGGCCCTGCTGGCCCCCACCTTAGGCACAGAACTTTGACGGCTGATTAGATATACATCACTAGATTAAAAGTATAACTTTAAAATATGAAAATATTCACAAAATGAAAAGTTCCACCAGCAGCAGAGGGAAAAGGCTCTGGATTCTATAACAAGCTCTTCAACCTTGGGCAAGTGACTTAACATCTTTGAATTAAAATTCTTCATCTAGGAAATGAAAGGAATGGAGTAGATAACAGCTAAAGGCCAACTTTGATATATTTATCATTGAAATAAAATCCAACAACCAGATTTCCTTTCCCTGAACCAAGGTATAGTGTAATTGGGTCAGCCTCCTTCCTTTTGCCCTACTGCGGGTCCAAAAAGAAAAAAGAAAAAGAAAAACTTTTTCAACCAGAAAATATGAGGCAGGTTGCAGCTGTCCCAGGTTATCCTGCAGTTCCCCCCCACTGGCACTAGGGGGCAGAGTTCTTCCCAAGGGGAGGCCACGGACCCCCTGTAGTCCACAGACAAGCTTCATGGGGACTGGGATCCCAAAACACCCAATACAAATTCTAGGCCTCATGATATTGCCTAAGGGACCTAGAACACACAAAAACAAAATAAAGCAACTACAACAACAAAAAAGTTAAGAATTAGTGTCCCGCAGGCAGAGCCTAGGTTTTCTTACAGAGAAAGGCAATTAAACACAGCCCACGGTCTTTCATCATTGGTTAACCTGCAACTCCTGCAAAAAGTTCTGGTGCCTTCCTACAGCCGTGAGGTTCTAGGGATTCGAAAATGCTACAGTTTCACATTTATAGATTTCATTCTTAAAAAAAAAAAGTAGAAATATACATGTTGATGGATGAGTAATTCCTTTCCAGCCCACCTCTCACAGAGAATGTGGATATCACATGTGAGATGCCACTTTGAAAAAACTGGGTATTACTATTACACAGGAATATATCGATCACTTTGGTCATTATAGTTGTCAAAAGTGGACATCCACAAAGCAGAATGACTTTAAATAGTATATCCAATTAAGTCGGATAAAGCAAGTTAGCAACACAGAGGCAATCTCTCACCAATCTAATTTAATGGAACATTCTAAAATTGGCCTAGATTCACAAAACACCCCCTGGCTTTCAATGAAAGTCACATCGGACTCCCTTAAGTCAACTAAGTTTACTTTGAGCCACTTCAAACCTCAAACCTAAACAGAATTTATTAAATAAACACATCCAAGAAAGTAAAGGGAGCCAAGAAACCACAGTAACTCTCGATCCCGGAGGGAGGGTGGGGGTGGGGTGGTCTCAAGTCAAGGATTTCAAGTAACTGGAGTGTGCCGCCCTGGATGAACCCTAAAAGAGGCATCAGCTGAATATTTTAAAATAGCCGTTGTTTGCCCTAAATGATTTTCTTCACATTCAAATTCAAAACCTGCCAAGGACAGTCAGCACAAATACACGATCTTTTGATCTCACCTTCTGGAATGATCTCAAACCCTAAAAGAGAGCTTCTTGGTGGAAACTACAAGTTAGACCCAAAGGTCCGGCGGGCAGAGAACACAGTGAATGATTAAACCCTCGCCTTTCCCGCTCACACTTCATTAAAGCCTTCTCCCCTGGAAGTGTTTGCACCCCTCTCACAGGAAGCCGGCACGTTTTGCAAAGGAAATACCAGACTTTTCTTGGAGAAAGGCACGTCCCGGTTGAACACTTTATTGGGCTTCCTGCACCCAGGCAGTCGGGCAAGCAGATGTCCTGGCCGGGCCCGAGCGCCCGCCGACTCACCTCACGCGGGCGCCGCGGGGACACACCGGTGAGCCAGCTACCCACGCAAAAGGAAGCACCTTCGCTACCTCCCCGGGCAAAGTGGAAGCGCGGGACAAAACAAAACCTGACTCGGCTTACTCATCTGGAGGCTCCCCGGAGGGTGAGGGGGGTGATTTCAGGCTACTCCCGGGAAGTTTCGCCCTCTCGGGCTTGGGGCAAGGTACCAGAAGCGGGCGCGCGGCGCGGTCGGCGGATCCCTCCCTCCAGGGCACCCAGGCCAGGTCCGGGCAGGAAGGGAGCCCGCTCCGGGTTCACGGAAAGAAGCCCGAGCGGAACCGCGAGCGCACTCACCTCGGGGAAGAAGTTGTCCATTGTTCCAGTGCGTTCCCCAACTTGCCGGAGTCGGGCGTCCAGCTCGCGGAAGTCAGCCCAGCAGAAGGTCCGGGGAAACCATGCGTGTCAAGGCGCGACTCCCAGAAACTCAAGCCCTCGAGGCTCCCCCGTTGCCATCGCCTTATCCTCTTCTCGTCTTTCGCACCTTTTGTTTGCCCAAACCCAATTCTCTAACTCATCCGTCCCAAACGCAGCCTTTGTCTCCTCTTCTTCCAAGTTCTTCACTTTTGGGCGCAGCGCACGCGAGCGGAGAACAGCTGGTGGCACATTCTTCCCCCAGGCGAGGGGAGAGCGGAGGGGTATTAGGGAGTGCGCCCCCTCCCTCTGAGCTGGGGCCGAGGCGCTGGGCGCCGGCAGGGGGACAGCGGCCACAAAGCAAGCCCCGAGTCGTTCTCCCAGAGCGAGCGCCGCCGCGGTAAGTATTCGGGCGCCGCGGCTCAGCTGGCTCACCGCGGCTAAGAGACTTGCAGACAGGAGCACACGCCCCGCCCCGCTCCGCTCGCCGGCTACGCCTACTCGCCCGCCTCGTCCCGCCCCTCTAGGAGCCCAGCCCTCAGCCAACCCCTCCCGGCTCTTCTGCAGGGTCGGGCGCAGCCCACCGGCGCGCCCCGCCCCACCTACCACCCAGGCCCCGCCCACTCCACGCCTGGGCGGTTCCAGTCTCGGCAGCGGGCAGGGAAGGCGGATTCCAAGTGGCTCCACTCCTGTCCCCGCCTCCCCGCCTCCCCACCTGGGGCTGGCGGGGGAGTTGACTCTTCCCTCTGGTGATAGAGACCCAATAGTCACCGGGGAGGAGGGGTTGAGGGATTCTTTTGTGCCTTTGATCTCAAGCAGACCCTGGAACCCGCTCAACACGGATCTCATTAATTCAGCCAGGCAGATGAACGACCCCGGGAAGGAAGCGCGCTCTGCGGAGCTGCCCCGACTGTTGGGCCAGATCAAAGCCGTGAATGGGGGCTAATCAGAATTTCTGGAAGCTGCCTTTCCGTGTTGAGTTTCTCTCCTGCCATCGGTTAACAGACGGTTTCATAGCCGCGAGGAAAAGTAGTTTTGTAAACTGGAAGAGGACGTGGCCAATTGCACCTTTAAAAATGCAAACTTTTTCTGTGATCTAAAGGAAACTGAGATAAGAAAGTCAGATGGATGAAGGATCAAACCCACCTGGTACCTGGTTTCCTCTATGGCAGGCCCTCAGACTTGAGCGTGCACAGGAATCACTTGGGAATTTTGTTAAAATGCAAGCTGGAATTCAGTGGGGCGAGTGCTGACAATTTGGATTTGTAACGAGCCCTCAATGAGTGTCACCTGGTGCTGTGCAGGTCTGCAATCTGGAGTCTGTGTGTAACAGGTAGAGCAATGTAGAACACAGGTATAGAAACCTTTGTAACGATATTTAAATGCCACGAAATCTAAGCGCATGATCGTTGGACTCTTTGAACCGAGTATAAACCAGTTTGGGTGTTGTCAGACTGCATGGTGAGTCATATACCTGGCACAGCAGTGATCTTGTATTGGTACCTAGCCTATTGGAAACAAAAACGACTGGTTCTTTACCACAAATAGTTTGAGGCACACTCTGTAGGGGATTTGCCAACTGCTACTCATGCTTTAAAATTCAAACCAGAAAGTCACATCTTCAGAGGAAGCCTATCCAGAAATGCCAAGCCACTCATACTGCTCCACCTAACCACGGGTGTGGCTTATTCCTAAAACTGTTGAGGAAACTACATCATGCTGTAAGAGGTTTTTTATTGGTGTCCTACACATCGTCAGTTGGGAAAATGGAAGCTCCTTAAGAGAGGGAACTGTGCTTTAAAATTTGTATCCCCAGTCTTTCTCAAAGAATGAGTTTTTGTGTGAAAATCCAGCCATGTTTGTAACCCATCTAAGAGCAGTTCCCCAGCTTTAACATATATTCATCCCGTAACCCTTTGGAAAGAGTCAAGGTAAAAAATACTGATACTGTGCTGTGCCATTGCCCTGTTTCACAGGTTTAGACACTTAAGCCATGAAAGACTTTGTCCCAGAGCCCTGGCCAGTTTGGCCAACGGTTAGAGCTTCCTCCTGTGGACCAAAGAGTCGCGGGTTCCATTCCGGTCAATGGTAGGTACCTCGGTTGCTGTTCGGTCTGCTACCTTGGTCGGGTCATGCGGGAGGCAACCAGTCCCTGTCTCTCTCACATCGAAGTTTCTCTCTCTCCCTCCCTCCCACTCTATCTGAAGATAAATGGAAAAATATCCTCAGGTGAGGATTTTTTAAAAGTCCCAGTTTGCAGGGACAGTTAAAATTGATAGAGCCAGGATAAATACCAATAATTCTAGGCACCAGCCAAGGTGCTTAGTCAAATGAGCCCTGGTGCCACCTGTATTCTGATATGGGAGCAGAACAATTACAGTCATTGTGGTATCGATCTGTATAGAACAGTTTTGGAGAGAAATTACCAGGCAGCTTTCAAGTAATTGTTGCGGGGGGGGGGGGGGTGCTCTCAGCATTAGCCCAGGCACTGACTGATGTATTGGGCCACCTTGGCCAAGAAACTTTCCAATATTGGCTCATCAATTGTAACAAATGTACCACACTAATACAACATGTTAGTAATAGAGGAAACTAGGGAAAGGGGGCAAGGGGGACGTAGATGGACACATTCCCCTCAATTTTTATGTAACCCTACAACTGCTTGAAAAACTAAAGTCCAATTTTTTAAGTCACTTTCCTGTTGATTAAGAAGATATAGTTAATTACCCCCCCAACTTGACTCATATGGAGAATGTAAGCCAGATCCAATACATAAGGGTTGAATTTTACTGAATTATTATGATTCTTTAAAAAGTTTATACCAGCTTATCAAAGTCCCCTGGGACTGTTGTTTAAAAAACAAACAAAAACAAAAAAACACTTGATTCTTAGTCTCAGGGGTGGGCTAGGTGCCTAAGAATCTGCATTTTAATAAGCACCCAAGCAGGTGATTCTAAGTGTAAGAATCACTGCTTTAGCTTGTCAGAATTCATCAGATTTTCCTTATAAATTCACACTCTCAAAAAAGGTGTAAAGATAAACGGAATAGTAAGACTATTTGCTGAACAAAAAGCAAAGTGCGTGTTATTTTAAACATTCTAAATAGGATATCTAACTTTCATGTGTTGGGGTTGAATCAGTTGTTTAAAAGGACTGTGTTACATTGACAAGGGCTTTGATAAAATTGGGCAAAGATGGGAAAGCATTTTAAATCAATAGATTTCTAAGAATATCCACTTTTGTTACCATTTTTAACAAGTTAAGTGCTTCCTTTCATGGGTCTGTGTAACCCATTGGTCAAAGCTGTTTGAGCTAAAACAAACGCTGTTCTCTGAGAAGTAACAGAGGCTCAAGAACGTTAATGCTCTGAGGCAAAGTTCCTTCTCAATTATCCTACTTTCTCAAAGACACCATGCTACTGGAGTGTTATCTTTTCAAATTAAAACATCAAAAAAGCTTGAATTACATTCTCTTTAGCTGCACAAATGAATCCACAACTGACAAAACTTTGTTTTAATGCAGATGGGACCATTTTCGCCACTTTAAGGGAGGATTATGTATGCATATATATGAGTGAAGTACTATAGTCTTCCTGTTTCTGTTTTCCACCGCGTGTTTGTTTTTAGTTGAAATGGGTTGTCTTAACTGCCTTTGTGATTTCAAATTGAGTTCCTTTGTTGTTATTCTGTTGCTTTTTAGCAGTTCCTAATCTGGGTGTGTTCCTGTGTAAAGTCTTTTCCATTACCTTTGTTTTTATAAAATACCTCTAATTGCTCCAATTAGAATAATGGTTTAATTACTAGTTATGGAAAGGGAAAGTTCTGGAAGATTCTTTCACACAAATTAGAGGTTAATAATTGACACAACTGTAAAATACTGTTTTTCATGCTTAACTAAACAACATTTCATCCTTTTGGTTCACTTATTGTCCTGAATGTTTAAAAATTCACGTGTGTTTGCCTTTCTGAACAAACAAGAATTAAGAGAATTTTTTAACGTTCTTTAAATTTTTAGACAAGTCTTTCTTTTATTTCTCATAACTTGCCATTCAAAAATCCCAAAGAATATTTTTTTTCATGTGAAACTGCAAATCATTGTGAGGTTTCTACAGAAAGAATAAAATTGAAGGTGGGCCCTGGCCGGTTTGGCTCAGCGGTTGGAGCGTCCACCTGCGGTCCGGAGAGACCCGGGTTCGGTTCCCGCTAAGGGCGCGTACCTCGGTTGCAGTTTGTCCCCGGCCCTGGTTGGTCGTGCGGGTGGCAGCCACTCGATGTGTCTCTTTCACATCAGTGTTTCCCTCTCTCTCTCTCTACCTCTCTCTCCCTCCCACTCTATCTGTACAAAAAATGGAAAAATTTCCTCGGGTGAGGATAAAAAAATAAAAAGCTAAAAACAAAATAAATAAATAAATAAATAAATAAAATTGAAGGTGGGAATACCTGAAATGCTTCACATTGTAATAGAATTAAACAAGTACAAAAGCACAGAAATAAAGCAAGGATAAGACACTCAAAAACCTATTTTACTAGCAGTCATTTTTCTGAACAAGATGGAGTAGGGCTAAGAGGACATTCACCTCATCAGAGAGCACTCAGTGGACAGTTAATTCTGACTAAATCCAGTCACTTTAAAACTACAACAATGGTTTCTAAATTGAGATGTCACACAAACACTGAGAGTTGTTTTCATAAATTCATCCATTTCCATTTAAAGTGGTTAGTCCTGGTCTTGCTGATTGTGATAAACAAATGGTATAAGTCCTAGAAACACTCGGTGATGATCTACTCTGCCCCATTGGACAATGTTCCTCAGCAGCCTTCTCTCTCTATTTTTCTGTATCTTCAAATTTCCACTCTTTTCTTAGAGTGGCTTTGGGGTTGACTTTCCAGAGTTACCATCGCTCCACTTCTGCTGTACTTTTGATTATGTTAATGTTTCCACTTCCAAACCTCATGCCCTTACTTATTCCTCCCCCTTCCGGAATCTTCCTGCTGACATTATCCAAGCCAATAAATGTGATTGGGTCTATTCCTCTTGAAAATAGCTGTTTTTTAACCTAATTGCTCCCTGAACTGTTAAGCCATTTCTCTTCAAGCCCCTGACTTGTTATTGCACTTCATCTTCAAGCAATCAACTCTTAAACTCCTTACGATTGGATTTTTGGCCTTCATTCCACTCTCTTGAAGATGGCCATGACCTCGAAATAATCAAATTCAATAGCTTGTTCTCACATTTCATTCTCCTTGACACTGACCCTCTTGTGAAAGCCTAACTTTGTAGCTTCCAGGGCCAGCTTCACAGCTCTGCAACCTGCAGTTAGTTGTACAGGCTCAGAAGGGGCTCCATTTGTTCTTGGTTTTAATACTCTGTCGTGTTGTCTTAGAACTCTTACTGATTTTTTTTAACAATGGGCTCTGCTTTTCCATT